TAGATTAAAGTTTTTTTCTTCTGTGTAAAAATAACTTTCCTGGGTATATATTTTTGTAATAAAACAATTCTGTTTCATAAACTTGGTACTTATAACCGCTTAACATTATTTACCTTAGCCTACCTTTGGGGTCTTTGCTATTATATTCCAATATCATTACGCCTCAATTGGCTAGTTATAGATTAAGAGTTGTTGTTTTTTATGTACAGTTGGCTTGCTGCTGTGTATAATAATTTATTGTTAAAATAACATTCTGTTCTGTAAATGCATTGTCTGCTGGTTTATTTAGCTACTTTTCAGTACACCACATTAAGTAGGCCACTTAGTACTGACTTTGAATGTTAAAGTGCAAATTAACACCTGACCACTCTTGTGGGTTTGCTGCTGTTCCAGTTAAAATCGTAGAAGGGTAAAACATTGGTATGATGTAAGCAACACAGCTACAACAAATAAAATTGATAATGGGTGTGTTAGATTTATAGTGTGCAAGGTGTTGAGGCACTCTTCAAGGAAAGGGCCCTGTCCTCACTAGCACCCCGTGATCGAGCACCTTTCAATAGTATAAACTGGGGTATTCTGTTTGGATACTGTCTGTACCAGTACAGCAAAATATTGTTGCTGCTTGTATCATAAGTGCAGCTCAGTGTCACAGACTCTCCTTCTTTACTGATTATATTGTCCTTGTCTTTTGGTTCAATGCTGTCAGCAAATATACCTGCAAGAGAATAAATTGTTCTTCATGAAAGTTGAATTTAACTCCTGTTCTGTTGTTACAGGAACAGTGCTATGAATTAAAGAATGTATTATGCTATAAAATATAGAATCTCAGCCATCTAATTCAATTGATGATATCAATTAATTTAATAGCCTATGTACACAATTAAAGGGGTGGTTCACTGGGTTTTTTCTAGGCTTAATTGTGTTTAACACACTATTTATTCACTCATACACTTATTTATCTAACACACATACTCAGTCTACATTTCAATTTGCACATAATATACCTGTACATCCAACTGTCTATTGTTATATACCTGTACATACAATTGTTGATTTGTATATTTTTATTCCTTATTTACTTCTATTTCTAGTTCTATTTTTTATTTATTTTTATTATTTATTATCTGTGTTTTTTTGTTCCGTCACTGTCATTCTGTTACACTGTGGAAGCTTCTGTCATGAAAACAAATTCCTCGTATGTGTAAACATACCTGGCAATAAAGCTCATTCTGATTCTGATTCTGATTCTGATTCTGTGTTTAAAGGAAATACCATTAGAATTTTCAATGTAAAACATGCACTCAATACAAACTACGTATTGTTTCTGTTGTAACTTCACCCCCTAGTGGCAGATGACAAACATATACATGTATCACAGAAAATGGAGACTAAAATGTGCAAAATTGCTCCAACTATACAGTGGACAGGAATTAATGAAAACTTTCCAGAAATGTTTTCCCAAATTTACACTATATTCCATAATTTTTAAGAAGACTGTGAATGGAATCAATACTAGTTTGCATCAGAATAAACTGGTATCTTCCATCATCAGCAATTCATCTTGTCCAATCGTTTCATGTTTAACAGTGATGAATGGATCTGTATTTTGAATACAAAGCTCAGAGTAATTCATAAGAAAATTGCAATTTGAGAGCACAATTGTATATTCTGAATATATGCCTTCACATGTACGATTGCACTGCAAATTTGCAACTTAATAGTGTTTCAGGTTCTTGTATGGTGTGTTGAGTGTTTCCTGTCACTGTGGGCTGCAGAGCACAGTAATACAGAGCAGAGTCTGATACAGCAGCAGAAGAGATGATCAGATCCACACTGTTATCTTCTTTTCTGTGACTGATGGATATTCCAGAAACTGGAGGATTAGCATGAGTAACATATCCTGAATAATCCAGGATGAGGAACTGTGGTGGTGAACCTGCATATTGTCGATACCAGTGAAGACTATCAACAGAACCAGTGTAGTTACAAGAGAGTTTCACAGTCTCAGTCTCGGTGGCACATGCTGCATCACTGTATGGGGTGATGACATCTTTAGCTCTGTTACCTGCAAAAAAACAAAAGAAAAAAAGTGTGGATCTGAACATTGCTGAGCATATTTAAAATGAGAATATTGTAATGTAATGAGTACATGTAAGATTTTTACCTTGAGTAAAAGTCAGCAGTATTAGCACACAAGTAAACATGATGAACAGGCTGCAGCTCACCTCAGTGATGTGTGATGCTGATCACTGAACAAGTCTGTGTTCTACAGGCTTGTGTTAAGCGCCGCCTCCTTACATAATAATTTTATAAATAACAGAAATGATTAAACACAAAACCAAAAACCAAACACTTGTGGAATGGAAACAAAATCTGAATCTGTGACAGTATCGTTGATTTTGTGTTCAATGTGTACCTTGTTTTTCATGCACCTTGTTGATTTTGTGAAGTTGCACCAGAAAATCTCTTAATTGTCATGTTTGGTTTAGTTAGAAGGCCAAAGGTTATTTATTAATTGATCAATACTCTATACCTCAAACTAAAGCTATATAAGGTACATTGTATTGCCTTATAGTTACAATGACATTTGATGTGCAAAATTCACCATCTAGGAATCAATCTGACTACTTTTGAAATCAGTACTAAACTAGCTTTTCATGATTAAACAGAGAAAAAAAAACATTTAGGTTAATCATTAACGGCTCCTATCTTACTAGCCCACCAGATGGCAATCTAATATCATTGAATGAATACTATTGCTACTGTTACTATTGCCACTTATTTTTTCTTAAGTTAAATTGGGATTTTGGAGTTAGGTAAACCATTACAGCTTATAAATTGTGAAACTTATTTACAAATATCACCTAACCCCAGTATGTGTTGATTTAATAGTCTTGTGGAACGGTTGCTATTAAACACAAGCAGTCTCAGCTTTCAAACCCATCTGCACATACAAAATGTAAGCAACCAAACAACACTGAGTCTGTACATCAGAAACATTAGTTTGCATTTTATTTTGGGGATTTTTTTCTCCCATATCTCTGCCATATTAACTGTGATGCAGTTTACTGTGGTATGCTTTACCCTCTATGTAGGGAGGGTTTTTGAACAGTGTTGTCTATTTTCCTGTCACTGTGGGCTCCAGGGCACAGTAGTACGTTGCTGCGTCTGTCACTTTAGCAGAGGAGATTTCAAGATATGTGTGGGTTTTCTCTTTATTCAGTTTTCCTGAGAATCGAGGATCTAGTTCCACAACTTTAGACTTCTGTAAAACTTTCCCATTTGCATGTAGAATGACTAAAAGAAATTCAGGAGCCGATCCAGGATACTGGCGATGCCAATATAGACTCGCTGCTGAGGAGTAGTTGCAGGACAGGGATATAATGTCCTTTTCTGTTTTGTATACTTCATTGTGGACCGGTGTGATGACATTCCCAAAAATATCGCCTACAGAAAGAAATATAAAAATGTAGCTTGTTAAAGACATGGATAAGCAGATAAGCATGCAATAAACAAAAATCCTGCCAGTCTGGAACAGAATACATACCTGCAAGAGAAAACAAAATAAAAACAAAGAGTATCATTGTTCAGGACGATATGCAAGTTAATGTGCAACACCTATTACTGTTGCTGAAGCAAGCATTCCATTTTTTTTTTCTCCAGTTAGAATGTCTCAGTAGCCCCTCCCCTTAAAGAAATATAAAAATGTAGCTTGTTAAAGACATGGATAAGCAGATAAGCATGCAATAAACAAAAATCCTGCCAGTCTGGAACAGAATACATACCTGCAAGAGAAAACAAAATAAAAACAAAGAGTATCATTGTTCAGGACGATATGCAAGTTAATGTGCAACACCTGTTACTGTTGCTGAAGCAAGCATTCCATTTTTTTTTCTCCAGTTAGAATGTCTCAGTAGCCCCTCCCCTTACAACTGTAATTCATAAACTGCAATGTATGGAAACCTATTTAAAAACGTAAACGGTTTGTTTGAAATAGAAATCTTTTGTTATGTCATTACTGTCACTTCTGCTTAATTTAATGTGCCTTTGCTGAATATAACTATTAATGTCTTAAAAAAAACATTTGAACGGTTATGTATGTAAACTACACTTTAAAAAGTACCTGTTATAAGAATCAGGAGTTGTGTTATACAATGTATAACAATATATAAACACCATACAATTTTGCTATTTGTTCATACAATTAAGTTCACAACAACAAGTTTGAGGAAGCCTAAAGAGGTGGACCTAACCAACAAAAGGTGGGGGTGTGCTTTTTTGTTTCTTCAGCAGGTGTGACCGCATCCTGTTGTCTTGTGGTTTAAGACACATAGTTGTGGTGGATCACTGACACGCTAATTATGTGTGTGTTTTTGTAAAGCGTCTGTGAACTTTGTATCACTGGGCTCCTACTTTTAGAGCACAGTAATAGAGAGCCGAATCTGACAGATTCACGTTGTTAATTGTGAGTGAAGTGGAGGTCGGAGATGTAGTTATCTTATAACGCTTGACTGATACATTCACTTCACCAGACGGACGAGAACTTTTAAATAACAAATACTGAGGTTCTCTATTAGGATACTGTCTGTACCAGTAAAGCAAAACATTATTTTTGCTTTTATATGTGCAGCTCAGCGTGACAGATTCTCCTTCTCTCCTGGTTTTATTTGTACCCTCTTCTTTTGGCGCAATGCTGTCAGCAAATACACCTACAAAAATGAATTTTGCTTTAGAATGATAATATAAAAAATGGTAACATGCTATAATAAAAACAATATAAAATACTAATTAACATATTTAAATTAAATCTATAATGTTACAATAATGTTACTGTCACTTTTTATATTATTTCTTAATTTTTTTTAAATCTTTCGAATGGTAGTGTGTATATAAATGACACTTTTAAAAAAAGAGTACCTGTCATAAGAATCAGCAGTCGACATCTGTCCATGTTAATATTCTGGGTGATTTATTTTGTTTTAATCCAAATCATGTTTGCAGGGAACTGTGGTGGTGAACCTGTATATTGCCGATACCAGTGAATATCACGAGCAGAACCGCTGTAGTTACAGGAGAGTGTCACATTGTCACCCTCAAGAGCAAATTCTCTGTTACTTTTTGGAGTGATGACTTCTGAGGCTCTGGAACCTGCAAATGAAAGTGGCTTTAATTGTAACACAACCATACATACATCTTGTAAAAACATATATTAATCTTTCATATAGAATTGAAACAGTATATAGAATTGAAACAGTAGTATGTTATATAGCATTATATTATGTATTACAATATATACAGTATAGTATTTTAGTAATATATTATATTAAAATATTACAATATTATACCTTCTGTTAATGACATCAGTATGATAATATAGATGAACATTTTCACTCAACAAATTGCCAGGAGCAAGCTAAACAAAGAGCAGCTGCTTCACACAGAGATTGATTGTGACTTTATTTGTGTGCTATTGTCTGTGTTAAACTCCTCCTCTTGCCATTATATATATGATCGCTATGCAGGTTTACTTTATCTGTAGAGGATAACGGACAGAGAACTACTTTAAAATAAATATTTTTTTATTTGCTTGTTTTTATTTCATTTTTTTTTGTTGTTGTTGTTGTTGTTTAAAAAATTTTTTCATTTTGTATACTGAATGATTTCTGAATTTTAAATAACATTTAGAAAAACAAATAAGTGATAGTTTCACATGCCCCCTATGTATACCCTTTCATGTTCTCCCAAATTCACAGGTGTTGCCACATTCTAATTTTTAGAGCTGTGGCTTTCAAAAAAAAAAATAAACTGTGGTTTGATGCTATTTGATTAAAGACTGTTCAAAGCACATTTTTTTTATTTGAGTTTTTGTAAAGCTTCTCTGGTATTTTGTATCACTGGGCTACTCGAAGAGCACAGTAATAGAGAGCTGAATCTGACAGAGCTGCTTTCTCAATAATGAGTTCAGTGGATGACTGGGATGTAGTCGACCGAAACCGATTGTCTGCTATATTCTCATAGGTCTGTGATCGAGCACCTTTGAGTAGTAAAAACCGAGGTTCTCCATTTGGATACTGTCTGTACCAGTAAAGCCAAACATTATTGCTGCCCACATCATATGTGCAGCTCAGTGTCACAAATTCTCCTTCTTCCTTGATTAAATTAATATCTCCTTCTCTTGGTTCAATTTTGTCTGCAAATCCACCTGAAATGAAATGCGTTTTTATACATTATGATCTAGATCATTAAAACAATAAGAAATGTTACAAATGTCTTTTCAGTATGTATAACATCAGGGCGAGGTTTGCTTTGCATTAAAATGGAATATTGTTTGTTCAGCCTACAACTGTGTTTAGTGAGATTTAGTATATTTACCTGTAACTACGATGAGAATCATGAGTAGCATCTGCCTCTCCATGTTGGCAGTCCAGATGTAGTTTGTATTTCTATTACTGTTAGATTTAGAAAACTGTACCTGAATATTGTTTTATAGTGTGAATGGATCTGTGTTGGTATCCAGAATGCACATGAGTGAAGTTCCATTGTGTACTAATATTGTGGGTGTGGTAATGTGAAATGTGCAACACAATTTAAAAGCTGCACAGCTTCTGTAATTCATAAGAGAACATACTGTTCTAGTGTTACAGCCTCCTCAGGAGGACATAGTCATAAAGGGGGAGCGACATCCATGTTGGTGAAATATTAAAATACATAGATGAATATAGTGGTGGAGCCTATTGAAGAGTAGAATATGTTTGCTGAAGGACTAACTGAGTGTCAGAAAAAAGAAAAACAATTTCAGACAAGGCTTAAGGGGCCAAGAACAAAGATCTTAAAGCAAAGCAGCAGCTATATGCTGGTGTAGCATTTATTTTTACATAAATTTTACAAGTAATTTGTGTAATTAATAAATAGTGCTCCAATAATCTGTTTTATTTACCTTGAAAATCTATAATATACTGTAATATACTGTAGCACAATTTCACTCAAAATGCCACATGAACTGTTTCACCCTCAAACACTCTTTCTGTCTCCTTTCTTGTTGAAAAGTCAAAAATTAGGGTCTTTAAAGGCTTCTCAGTAATCCATAGCTCCAGCCTTAACTAATTATACCAACTCAAATCATTTTAACCAGATGTCTTTTACAATTAAGGCTAGAAGGTATAGACATCAGGTGCTTGTTTAGTGTGAATAAAACAGCTTGTGAAATAATGTTGCCCCCTTCTGTTGGAGCTCAGAACAGCATGTTTTGTGCAGTTGCTTTACCCCATGCTTTAAAATGGTAAACACGTTTGAGTTACTTTTATTGACATTTGTTTATATTTACAATACTTTGATTATTGTGCTTAAACGTTATGCATAAATGCTTTATGTCCTCATAAAAGGGACAATCTGTCTTCCACTTTTAGCCACAGAATACTTTAACAGTATGACAGATTCTTAAGGATCTACTAATATAAGAACTGTATAAGAATATCTGAAGAATCTGGGATTTTTCACTGTACATTAAAACCTCAGCCCAAACCCTCGCTTTCTTTCTGCCATAGTCTTATTTAAAGAGCTTTTTTTTTTTTTTAACATAAACTCTCATCCCCACCTCTCTCTTTCGGTCTTATTTAAACAGCTTTTTGTACAGCATGCAGTGGATTTCCTTTCACTGTGGGCTCCAGAGCACAGTAGTAGAGAGCGGAGTCAGTGACAGCAGCAGAGGAGATCTTCAGATCCACACTACTGTTGTCTTTTCTGTGATAGATTGAGACTCCAACAACTGGAGGATCAGCTTTAGTAACTGCCCCATAATAATCCATTATGAGGAACTTTGGTGGTGAACCTGAGTATTGACGATATGAAGACCTCCCTCGAACAGAACCAGTGTAGCTACAAGAGAGTGTCACACAGTCACCCTCAACAGCAAATTAATGTTTTCATCCTAAAATATTTTCATCCCGCTTTTAAGAATGTTTCAGCAAATGCGGCAATATCCTACCTTGAGCTGATGATAGTAATATAATTAAATAGATAAACATTTTGGCACAATAATCAGGTGTGAACAGTAGGCACACAGAAACATCAGATGATCTAAAAAGACTTGTGAAATGCTGACAGTCCTATTGTACAACATCTGTGCTAAACTCCTCCTACTCAGATTGACAACATTCAGCCCTCATCTCACACAATATAAATGATGAAATGTTATTTATAACACAATCACACATATTGAATAGAAATAAAGAATATTTATAAATATAGATAGAGAGATAAATGACAAGGTACAACACATTTCAGTGACATATTTTAGGGGTGTAATCTTAAACATAAACATGATATAGATTTTGCATGTTAGACAGAAATGAGGGTTCTATAACAATAATTATCCAGATGTGCAGAAAGCATGTTTATGTTTGTTACAATTAAGTTTAAAATGAAGACTATTTAATGTTATAAATGTTATTTTATAACATTGTATGAAATAAAAAATCAATATATATATAATAAAATGTCAGTAGAAATATCCTGTTCTTTCCCAAAATACAATTGATTTAAAACTATAGTCCTGAATTTATGAAGCAGATCATCTGTCTCTGATCCTACAGTGGATGTGTTCATGGTGATTATGTGGGATTTCAATGGAAGATCCCTTCTGAACTTACAATATTGTGTGTTACTTGATATCAGTAGGAATATCAGTAGGAGCTGTCCTTTTCTTTTTTTTGGACATTTGTGTTAGTCAAGCTGTGGTTTGCACATTTCTATCAGGGCTTGATAAGCATATGAAAACTGTTTTTGTACAATGTTTTTGTACAATGCCATAGGGTTTCCTGTCACTGTGGGCTGCAGAGCACAGTAGTACACAGCAGAGTCTGATACTGCAGCAGAGGAGATGATCAGATCCACATGGCTTTCTGTTTTTCTGTGATTGATGGTTATTCCTGGAACGGGTGGATTAGCTGGAGTTGTTACCCCTGAATATTCCAGTATGAGGAACTGTGGTGGTGAACCTGCATATTGACGATACCAGTGAACACCACGAGCAGAACCGCTGTAGTTACAGGAGAGTGTCACATTATCACTCTCACGAGCAAATTCTCTGTCTCTTTTTGGAGTGATGACTTCTGAGGCTCTGGAACCTGCAAATGAAAGTGGCGTTAAAATGTAGTTATCAAACACTTCCGCTGGAATAAATGATGGGCTTTTAACTTTTAACATATTATACCTTCAGTTGATGACAGCAGTATAATAATATAGATCAACATGTTCATTCACTACACTGGTAAGAACAAGCTAAAAACAGAGCAGCTGCTCCACACAGTGTTGAGTGATGTTCATCTTTACCCAGCTGTATGCTGTATAGTGTCTGTGCTAAACTCCTCCTCCTGTCCTGACAATGTCCTGAATTACAATGCACCAAAGATTAAAAGAGCATTCATAGCTGTTTAAATATATGTTATTTCTTTAAATTCTTTGTTTTTTATATCAATATTGTATTGCCATTTTGCTCAAATATGTGAGCTTCTATAATTTTTAATGAGACTTCTTATACAACATAATATGAGAAAAGAGATAACCTAACAAACAAGCTAACATGAGCAAAATATGCAATACATCGTATTCACATGCCCTTATGTAACCCTTTTAACCTCCCAAATTCACAGCTGTTACCACATTCCCCGTTTGTTTTTTACAAAAACGTTATGTGTTTTGATACTGATTGATTAAAGACTCTTCAAAGTATTAATTTTGTGTGAATTTTTGTAAAGCTTCTCTGGTAAGTAACTGCCCCATAATAATCCATTACGAGGAACTTTGGTGGTGAACCTGAGTATTGACGATACCAGTGAAGACCTCGAACAGAACCAGTGTAGCTACAAGAGAGTGTCACACTGTCACCCTCAACAGCAAACTGCAAAGCACTGTATGGTGTGATGACCTCTGCCGCTCTGGAACCTGCATTTAAAGCATACATTTAAAATTCTCTTTCCTCTTAAAATCCTCTTTCAAATCTATTAAAATGCAATTTTGTTATTAGCTTTATTACATTTCTGAGATAGTCAGGCTCTTTTGCTTAAAAAAGAGAACTAAATTAAAATACAAAACTATAAATCAGAAAAAGAAACGTAGGGTTTGAGAGTTGAAATTAGATACCAACATGCAAGACAACAGAACAAAGCCAAAACAAACAGCATCATTTTCAGGATGATGTTTAAGTTCATCTACAGGACAAACTGTTAATGAAGTAACATTCATTCATTGAATAGCAGAGGTTGTCTCAAGAACCTCCCCTTAAAACTACAGCCCTGAATTCGTGAAACAAATCATCTCTCTCTGAACCTATGGTGGATGTTTTCGTGGTGATCATTTACCATATAATTATTTCAATTTTTTTTGACATTTTAGCAAAGACCAATATACAATACTTTTTTAATCAGATGTCTATTGTAAGAACTTTTATTTGTTTTTAATATTTTATCAGTTTATCCATTTAACAAAGTACACAGTTGTTATATTTAATAGCTGTTGCAGGTACAGTATATGTAGCAGTTTAGTTTAAAAATATCTGTGAGACAGTGGATTTAGGCCTATAACAATATTACAGATGTTCTGAGTTGTATATGAGATATATTTTAATGGTTGATGTACTGTAACTGACTGAAACCAACTGTTCAGTTTATTCTAGTAGTTGCATTATTTAGGATCTCTATGGAAAATTGTCAGAGGGTCCCTTCAGAGTTACTTACTGTCTATGCAAGTAAAGTCAGCTTACTTAAAAATAAGTTAATTTCATTAGCAGTTGTACACTGTCTCTTTCTCTCTCTCTTTTTGACCTTTGTGCTGTTGAGTCCAGCTGTGGTTTGTACATTTCTATCAAGGCTTGATAAGCATATGAAAACTGTTTCTGTACAGTGTTATAGGGTTTCCTGTCACTGTGGGCCTCAGAGCACAGTAGTACCGTGCTGAATCTGACACTTTAGCAGAGGAGATGATCAGATCCACATGGATTTCTGTTTTTCTGTGATTGATGCTTATTCCTGGAACGGGTGGATTAGCTGGAGTTGTAACCCCTGAATCTTCCAGTATGAGGAACTGCGGTGGTGATCCTGCGTATTGCCGATACCAGTGAACACCACGAGCAGAACCGCTGTAGTTACAGGAGAGTGTCACATTGTCACCCTCAAGAGCAAATTCTCTGTCACTTTTTGGAGTGATGACTTCTGAGGCTCTGGAACCTGCAGATAAAAGTGCTGTTAAATGCAGTTTTTAAACACTTCTGTTAGAATAAAATGCTTTTATTTTTACAATATTATACCTTCAGTTGATGACAGCAGTATAATAATATAGATCAACATGTTCACTCACTACACTGGTAAGAACAAAAACAGAGCAGCTGCTCCACACAGTGTTGAGTGATGTTCATCTTTACCCAGCTGTATGCTGTATAGTGTCTGTGCTAAACTCCTCCTCCTGTCCTGTCAATGAGTCTGAATTTCAATGCACCAAAGAAAAGATTAAATGGCTGTTTAAATATATGCCAATATTGTATTACCATTTTGTTCATACACGAGTTTCTATAGTTTTTAATAAGACTTCTTATACTACATAATATGAGAAAAGAGATAACCTAACAAACAAGCTAACATGACAAAAATATGCAATACATCCTAAATTGCATTCACATGTCCTTATGTAACCCCTTTACCTCCCAAATTCACAGCTTTCTCTGCAAAGAAATGTTGATAGCACTTTTCAGTCATCATTGGTGAACATCAGGGAAATGCTTGTGAAGCATAATTTGTGAGATTATGTTGCCCCCTTCTGTTGGAGCTCAGAACTATATGAAATAATGTGCTTTCTTGAATGGTAAATATGTTTGAGCTACTTTTACTGTTTCCTCATCTCTCTCTGATCCTAGATCTGTAATATTTTTCATCATAGCCTTAAAAGTATTTAGATTTTAGTAAACATTTTAGTTTAGTACATTTTAGTAAAGTCAGATATACTGATTAATCTAAGAAGCCTGTGTGAGAAAGTGTTGTTCATATTTTTATGTAATGTTTTTTTTATTGTTTAACTTTTATTTATTTGCTCCTTTTTATTGTTCAGACTAGCGATTACATTCATAAAAGTGACACCTGAAGAACAAAATTCATAATCATGAATATAAGTAAGTTTTTTGTGTGTGTGTGTGCTGTTTTGTTGTTGTTTTACAAGGATTTAACTGATTTCAGATCAGTTTAAATTATTTCCTTAGGAATTTATACAACATAAAATGAGAAAAAAATATATAAAAGTTATAATGTGAAACCATGATATGCATGCTATATTGTATTCACATGCTCTTATTCAAGCTTTATTTTAACCTTCCAATTTCACAGCTGTTACCACATTCTCTGTTTGTGGTATATAAAAACATGATGTGTTTTGATACTGATTGTATTAGATACTCTTCAAAGCATTCATTTCATGTGAGTTTTTGTAAAGCTTCTCAGGCATTTTGTATCACTGGGCTACTTCAAGAGCACAGTAATAGAGAGCTGAATCCGTCAGAGTTACACTGTTAATAGTGAGTTCAGTGGATGTCTGGGATGTAGTTGACTGAAACCCATCTGGTATATCTTTCTGCCTGCTCTGTGATCGAGCACCTTTATACAGTATATATTCTGGTTCTCTGTTAGGATATTGTCTGTACCAGTAAAGATAAATATCATTGCTGTTAGTTTCATATGTGCAGCTCAGTGTCACAGACTCTCCTTCTTCTCTGATTATATTAGTATCTCCTTCACTTGGTCCAATTCTATCAGCAAATCCACCTGAAATGCAGTGAATCATATTTTAAAATGCTCTGATGTAATAAAGTTTTTTTGTTTGTTTTCAATAAAAATGATATCAGATTAAATTGACTGATTCACAAAATGTAATTAATTAATAATTGTGATTAAAAGTATATTTACCTGAAACTGTGATGAGCATTATAAATATCATCTGCCTCTCCATCTTAACCGAAGTCCACTTTAAAGATCAGATTTTTAGTGTGTAGTACTTATTAAATTGATTCATTAGATTATAATTATTAATTTATGGATTCCACTTTATTAATTTATTGGTTCCACTTTATGCTAATTGTGGCTTTCTAAAATACGAGAGTAGCTGATGGTTGAAAGCACTGAGAACTGAGTTAAGTTCTGTTGTGTTCGAATAATGAGGCTGTGGGATAGTGAAATATGAAATATGTTCTGTGCTTTCAAATGTGTTTCTTATAAACATCAGGTGCTTGTTTAGTGTGAATAAAACAGCTTGTGAAATAATGTTGCCCCCTTCTGTTGGAGCTCAGAACAGCATGTTTTGTCCAATTGCTTTACAGTGTGCTTTTAATTGTGCCATCTAAAATGGTAAATGTGTTTAAGTTACTTTTATTTACATTTAATTTTAATCACAATCATTTAATTATTGTGCTCATGCATAAAACACATTTTATGTCCTTATAAAAGTGATAATCTGTCTTCCACTTTCAGCCACAGAACATTTTATGACTGCTTCTTAAGCATCTACTAACTTTATAAGACATATCTGTGTGATTTATTAAAAACATAAACCCTAATCTCCATCTCTCGCTTTCAGTCTTATTTAAAGAGCATTTTGTACAACATGCAGTAGATTTCCTTTCACTGTGGGCTCCAAAGCACAGTAGTAGAGAGCGGAGTCAGTGACAGCAGCAGAGGAGATCTTCAGATCCACACTACTGTTGTCTTTTCTGTGATAGATTGAGACTCCAGCAACTGGAGGATCAGCTTCAGTAACTACCCCATAATAATCCATTATGAGGAACTTTGGTGGTGAACCTGAGTATTGATGAGACCAGTGAAGACCTCGAACAGAACCAGTGTAGCTACAAGAGAGTGTCACACTGTCACCCTCAACAGCAAATTAATGTTTTCATCCTAAAATATTTTCATCCCGCTTTTAAGAATGTTTCAGCAAATGCGGCAATATCCTACCTTGAGCTGATGATAGTAATATAATTAAATAGATAAACATTTTGGCACAATAATCAGGTGTGATAGTAATATAATTAAATAGATTAACATTTTGGCACAATAATCAGGTGTGAAGAGGAGACAAACATCAGATGATCTAAAGAGACTTGTGAGATGCTGATAGTCCTAATGTACAACATCTGTGCTAAACTCCTCCTACTCAGATTGACAACATTCAGCCCTCATCTCACACAATATTTATAACACAATCCCACATATTGAATAAAAATAAAGAATATTAATAAATAGATATAGATAGCTAGATAAATGACAAGCTACAACATATTTCAGTGGCATATTTTATGGGGATAATCTTAAACATTAACATGATATAGATGTTGCATGTTAGACACGAAATAAGGGTTCTACAATAATTATTCAGATTTGAAGCTTTTGTTGCTTACAATTAGTTTAAAATGAAGACTATTTAATGCTATCAATTTTATTTTGTAACATTGTATAAAATAAACATGAATATACTGTATGCAAAAAAATGTCAGTAGAAATATCCTGCATGCCTTAATACTTTCCTGAAATACAGTGAGGTTTTTGTACAGTGTAGTTTGTTTTCCTGTCACTGTGGGCTCCAGAGCACAGTAGTACATCACAGAGTCTGTGACTTTAGCAGAGGAGATCTCCAGATCCACATGAGTTTTCTTTTCATTCAGTTTTGCTGAGAATCGAGGATCTTGATCCACAGTTTTGGATTTTTGTAAAATTTCCCCAGTAGCATGAAGAATGAGGAAAAGAAATTCAGGAGCCAATCCAGGATATTGGCGATACCAAAATAAACGTTTTGCTGAGGAGTAGCTACAGGAGAGACTTATAATATCCCCTTCTGTCCCAGACACATGAGTTTCAACTGGTGTGATGGCATTCCCAAAACTGACACCTGCAGATGAGATTATCAACATTTGACAACATTTTAACTACAAAACATTAAAATAAGCAGAAAAAAAATTGAGGGTCTGAGGGTTTAAATAGTATACGTACATGGAAGACAACAGAAAAAAGCTAAAACAAAAAGCATCATTTTCAGGATGTTGTTTAAGTTCATCTGCAGGACAAACCGTAACTGAAGTAAACATTCATTCATTGTACAGCAGCGATTGCCTCTAGCTCCTCCCCTTAAAACAACAGTCCTGAATTTATAATGTAGATCATCTCTCTCTGATCCTACAGTGTTTCTGTCAGGACCACTATCGTCAAAGATGATTGACAATTAGCATACAGTTGGGATTGGTGGTATGGTTCTGTTCTGGGCCAGAATTCCCTGTGCATCCATGCAGTCTAGCATGGATGAGAGCAGTGATAACCCCCTGGGGTAACAGAACAGAACCAACATAAATGTATTGCAGAGATCATTAATGTTCAATAATTTAATGAACACATTTTAGAAATTAGCCTTATTCAAAAGAGAATCAGAATGCCGAATCCTGACTGGACGAGAGGAGGAGCTGGGGATGGAGAAGGGTAATTAGTTATTGAACAACGTGAAAGCTGTTGATAATACTGAAGGACCTTATATATGAGATAGGCGTTGTATTCCTATAGGTAGACGTGGATAAGCTGAGAGTCAGCTAATACGAGCTTAACTAACATGACCTGCCAGAACTAACGGTACGCTTGATTTATGATGATCATTATGTGGGTTATAGATTCATAGTTTTGAGTCACGTGACTGGCCTGAAGATCTGGAGGGCAAAAACATCCATAGAACTGCAACACAAGTTTGTCAATTTTCTATCTGTTTCCAATCAACTAATATTAAATCACCTCTCAAAAGAATAAAACAGAAATATGTGAACAAAGTGCAAGTTTTGGCCATTTGCAATGCATATAAAGTATTCACTGCAATATTTCAATCACTAAAAGCAGCGGGACATTCTGAAATGTTTAATGTGAAAAACACTTAAAGTGCCTTAATGTATTAAAACAGTGATTACTTTATAGGTAAGCAGATAAGCCTGGAATATGATATCACATGAAAACTATGAATGGATGATCCATTCTGACTTACTGTCTACCAGTAAAGCCAGTTTACAATATTGTATATTACTTAATAATTCCACTATCAGTAGGAGCAGTGTTTTTTTTTTTTTTGTGCTGTTGAGTCCAGCTGTGGTTTGTACATTTCTATCAAGGCTTGATAAGCATATGAAAACTGTTTTTGTACAGTGTTATAGGGTTTCCTGTGACTGTGGGCTGCAGAGCACAGTAGTACAGAGCAGAGTCTGACACTTTAGCAGAGGAGATGATCAGATCCACATGGATTTCTGTTTTTCTGTGATTGATGCTTATTCCTGGAATGGGTGGATTAGCTTGAATTGTTGCCCCTGAATCTTCCAGTATGAGGAACTGTGGTGGTGATCCTGCATATTGCCGATACCAGTGAACACCACGAGCAGAACCGCTGTAGTTACAGGAGAGTGTCACATTGTCACCCTCAAGAGCAAATTCTCTGTCACTTTTTGGAGTGATGACTTCTGAGGCTCTGGAACCTGCAAATGAAAGTGGTGTTAAATGTAGTTTTTAAACACTTCTGACGGAATAAAATACTATTACAATATAATACCTTCAGTTGATGACAGCAGTATAATAATATAGATCAACATGTTCATTCACTACACTGGTAAGAACGAGCTAAAAACAGAGCAGCTGCTTCACACAGTGTTGAGTGATGTTCATCTTTACCCAGCTGTATGCTGTATAGTGTCTGCGCTAAACTCCTCCTCCTGTCCTGACATTAAATCTGAAACACCTAAAAAAGAGATAAACTGAATATTCCTGGCTGTTTAAATATATACTTATTTCTTTTAATTCTTTGTTTTTTGATAATCCTTTTTTGTTCTTCATTTTGCGGCTCATTGCCAATATTGTATTACCATTTTGTTCATACACGAGTTTCTATAGTTTTTAATAAGACTTCTTATACTACATAATATGAGAAAAGAGATAACCTAACAAACAAGCTAACATGACAAAAATATGCAATACATCCTAAATTGTATTCACATGTTCTTATGTAACCCTTTTTACCTCCCAAATTCACAGCTGTTACCACATTCCCTGGTTGTGGTTTATAAAAACATGATGTGTTTTGATACTGATTGTATTAAATTCTTTTTAAAGCATTAATTTCATGTGAGTTTTTGTAAAGCCTCTCAGGCATTTTGTATCCCTGGGCGACTACTCTTAGAGCACAGTAATAGAGAGCTGAATCCTTCAGACTTACACTCTTAATAGTGAGTTCAGTGGATGTCTGGGTTGTAGTTGATTGAAACACATCTGGTATATCTTTCTGCCTGCTCTGTGATCGAGCACCTTTATACAGTATATATTCTGGTTCTGTGTTTGGATATTGTCTGTACCAGTAAAGCCAAATATCATTGCTGTTAGTTTCAAATGTGCAGCTCAGTGTCACAGACTCTCCTTCTTCTCTGATTATATTAGTATCTCCTTCACTTGGTCCAATTCTATTAGCAAATCCACCTGAAATGCAGTGAATCATATTTTTAAATACCCTGATGTATAATGAAGTTATTTTGTCAATAAAAGTAATATTAGTTTAAATTAATTGATTCAACAAATATAATTAATTGTGATAAAAAAACATATTTACCTGAAACTGTGATGAGCATTATGAGTATCATCTGCCTCTCCTCCATCTTAACTGAAATCCACTTTAAAGATCAGATTTTAATTGTCTAATACTTCATTTACATAAATATAATTGATTTATTAGATTATCATTATTAACTTACAGAATTTGTTAGCTCCAAATTATGCTGAATGTGGCTTTATAAAATGAATAAAAATATAGAGTAGCTGATGGTTGAATGAAAGCACTGAGAACTGAGTGAAGTTCTGTTGTGTATGAATAATGTGGCTGTGGGATCGTGAAATATGAAACACATTCTGTGCCTAACCCTGGGTGTGATTTGCCATGGAGGTTATTTTCTGTATTTGTACTGTCATTTTATATGAATTATTAGATATTTCTACGTTGTCTAAATTTCTCAGTCAAATATCGCCCCTCTAGTTTTTGAACAAACCACACCTTGTTTTAGCCAATCAAAGACTTTTGAGGCACGTTCTGCCTGTCATGATTTTGCTCATTCACAGCAGACGGTCCATATATGCAAAGCCAGAAGCTAAGTAAATTTCCTACTGAGGAGTAACTACATGAAAGATTTATAATGTCCCCTTATGTCCATAACATATGAGTTTCAACTGGTGTGATGACATTTCTAAAATTGACAGCTTTTAATCTCATGAAGGAAAGATTTACAAATTAACAGATTAAAAAAAAATGAAATGAAAGAATGGACGAAATGAAAGAGAGCAGAGCAAAGAAAATAAAACACCCCAAGGCATTATTTATTATTCATTATTCATTGAATTTATGAAGCAGATCATCTGATCCTAGATCTGTGATCTCTGATTCTGAATGTGTTTATGATGATAACTTAGCAACTAAATAATATTTTTCATTATAGCCTTAAAAGTATTTAGACCTTCATTTTAGTAAAGTCAAATATACTGATTAATCTAAGAAGCCTCTTGTAAGAAAGTGATGTGGATTTGTGTGTGTGTTTGTGTGTGTGTGTGTTGTTTTGTTGTTGTTGTTGTTTTACAAGGATTTAATTGATTTCAGATCATTTTAAATGATATCCATAAGAATTTATACAGCATAAAAGGAGAAAAAAATATATAATAGTGATCATATGAAACCATGTGATGCATATTATATTCACATGCCCTTACACAACCTTTTTAACCTCCCAAATTCACAGCTGTTACCACATTCCCTGTTTGTTTTTTACAAAAACGTTATGTGTTTTGATACTGATTGATTAAAGACTCTTCAAAGTATTAATTTTGTGTGAATTCTTGTAAAGCTTCTCTGGCATTTTGCATCATTGGGCTCCTACTCTTAGTGCACAATAATACAGAGCTGAATCTGACAGAGCTGCTTTTACAATAGTAAGTTCAGTGGATGACTGGGATGTAGTTGATTGAAACCCATCTGGTATATCCTTAGAACTGCTCCATGATCGAGTGCCTTTATACAGTAAATATTCTGGTTCTCTGTTAGGATATTGTCTGTACCAGTAAAGATAAATATCATTGCTGTTAGTTTCATATGTGCAGCTCAGTGTCACAGACTCTCCTTCTTCTCTGATTATATTAGTATCTCCTTCACTTGGTCCAATTCTATTAGCAAATCCACCTGAAATGCAGTGAATCATATTTTTAAATACCCTGATGTATAATGAAGTTATTTTGTCAATAAAAGTAATATTAGTTTAAATTAATTGATTCAACAAATATAATTAATTGTGATAAAAAAACATATTTACCTGAAACTGTGATGAGCATTATGAGTAGCATCTGCCTCTCCTCCATCTTAACTGAAATCCACTTTAAAGATCAGATTTTAATTGACTAATACTTGATTTACATAAATATAATTGATTTATTAGATTATCATTATTAACTTACAGAATTTGTTAGTTCCAAATTATGCTGAATGTGGCTTTATAAAATGAATAAAAATATAGAGTAGCTGATGGTTGAATGAAAGCACTGAGAACTGAGTGAAGTTCTGTTGTGTATGAATAATGTGGGTGTGGGTTAGTGAAATATGAAACACGTTCTGTGCCTTCAAATGTATTTCTTATAGACATCAGGTGCTTGTTTAGTGTGAATAAAACAGCTTGTGAAATAATGTTGCCCCCTTCTGTTGGAGCTCAGAACAGCATGTTTTGTGCAGTTGCTTTACCCTGTGCTTTAAAATGTGCCGTCTAAAATGGTAAATGTTTTTGAATTAATTTTATTGACAATTACTTTTAATTACAATCATTGTTTGGCTCACACATGTTATGCATATAACACGTTTTATGTCCTCATAAAAGTAATAATCTGTCTTCCACTTTCAGCCACAGAATATTTTCACAGTATGAGAGTTTCTTAAGGATCTACTAATATAAGAACTTTATAATAAATATCTGTGTGATTTAAAAAAAAAAAAACATAAACCTCATCCTCATCTCTCACGTTCAGTTTCATTTAAAGAGCTTTTTGTACAGCATGCAGTGGATTTCCTTTCACTGTGGGCTCCAAAGCACAGTAGTAGAGAGCGGAGTCAGTGACAGCAGCAGAGGAGATCTTCAGATCCACACTACTGTTGTCTTTTCTGTGATTAATTGAGACTCCAGCAACTGGAGGATCAGCTTTGTGAGTGTTTGTGTGTGTGTGTGTTGTTTTGTTGTTGTTGTTGTTTTACAAGGATTTAATTGATTTCAGATCATTTTAAATGATATCCATAAGAATTTATACAGCATAAAAGGAGAAAAAAATATATAATAGTGATCATATGAAACCATGTGATGCATATTATATTCACATGCCCTTACACAACCTTTTTAACCTCCCAAATTCACAGCTGTTACCACATTCTCTGTTTGTGGTTTATAAAAACATGATGTGTTTTGATACTGATTGTATTAGATTCTTTTTAAAGCATTAATTTCATGTGAGTTTTTGTAAAGCCTCTCAGGCATTTTGTATCACTGGGCTACTACTCTTAGAGCACAATAATAGAGAGCTGAATCCTTCAGAGTTAAACTGTTAATAGTGAGTTCAGTGGATGTCTGGGATGTAGTTGATTGAAACCCATCTGGTATATCTTTCTGCCTGCTCTGTGATCGAGCACCTTTAAATAGTATATATTCTGGTTCTCTGTTTGGATATTGTCTGTACCAGTAAAGCCAAATATCATTGCTGTTAGTTTCAAATGTGCAGCTCAGTGTCACAGACTCTCCTTCTTCTCTGATTATATTAGTATCTCCTTCACTTGGTCCAATTCTATTAGCAAATCCACCTGAAATGCAGTGAATCATATTTTTAAATACCCTGATGTATAATGAAGTTATTTTGTCAATAAAAGTAATATTAGTTTAAATTAATTGATTCAACAAATATAATTAATTGTGATAAAAAAACATATTTACCTGAAACTGTGATGAGCATTATGAGTATCATCTGCCTCTCCTCCATCTTAACTGAAATCCACTTTAAAGATCAGATTTTAATTGTCTAATACTTCATTTACATAAATATAATTGATTTATTAGATTATCATTATTAACTTACAGAATTTGTTAGCTCCAAATTATGCTGAATGTGGCTTTATAAAATGAATAAAAATATAGAGTAGCTGATGGTTGAATGAAAGCACTGAGAACTGAGTGAAGTTCTGTTGTGTATGAATAATGTGGCTGTGGGATCGTGAAATATGAAACACATTCTGTGCCTTCAAATGTGTTTCTTATAGACATCAGGTGCTTGTTTAGTGTGAATAAAACAGCTTGTGAAATAATGTTGCCCCCTTCTGTTGGAGCTCAGAACAGCATGTTTTGTGCAGTTGCTTTACCCTGTGCTTTAAAATGTGCCGTCTAAAATGGTAAATGTTTTTGAATTAATTTTATTGACAATTACTTTTAATTACAATCATTGTTTGGCTCACACGTTATGCATATAACACGTTTTATGTCCTCATAAAAGTAATAATCTGTCTTTCACTTTCAGCCACAGAATATTTTCACAGTATGAGAGTTTCTTAAGGATCTACTAATATAAGAACTTTATAATAAATATCTGTGTGATTTAAAAAAAAAAAAACATAAACCTCATCCTCATCTCTCACGTTCAGTTTCATTTAAAGAGCTTTTTGTACAGCATGCAGTGGATTTCCTTTCACTGTGGGCTCCAAAGCACAGTAGTAGAGAGCGGAGTCAGTGACAGCAGCAGAGGAGATCTTCAGATCCACACTACTGTTGTCTTTTCTGTGATTAATTGAGACTCCAGCAACTGGAGGATCAGCTTTAGTAACTGTCCCATAGGACTCCAGGATGAGGAACTTTGGTGGTGAACCTGAGTATTGACGATACCAGTGAAGACCTTGAACAGAACCAGTGTAGCTACAAGAGAGTGTCACACTGTCACCCTCAACAGCAAACTGCAAAGCACTGTATGGTGTGATGACCTCTGCTGCTCTGGAACCTGCATTTAAAGTGTAAATTTAAAGTTTAAAAAACAAAAAGAAGACAAGAAAAATATAACTCCTCTTTCAAATTTGCATTCTCAATTCAAATGCAAAAAAATGTATATGCTTAATAATGCAATGTTTTATTAGCTTGGTTAACTAAAAAAGCATTTCTGAGAAGCCAGGTTCTTGTTTCAGTAAGAGAATCATTATTTATATAAAAAATAAATAATGTTTTTATCCTAAAATGTTTTCATCACCTTTTTAAGAATGTTTCAGTATACCCTAATTTCAGTTATACCCTACCTGGAGCTGATGATAGTAATATAATTACATAGATAAACATTTTGGCACAATAATCAGGTGTGAACTGCAGACACAGAAACATCAGATGATCTAAAGAGACTTGTGAAATGCTGAAAGTCCTAATGTACAACATCTGTGCTAAACTCCTCCTACTCAAATTGACAACATTCAGCCCTCATCTCACACAATATACATTATGAAATTTTATTTAAAACAATCCCACATATTGAATAAAATAAACAATATTAATAAATAGATATAGATAGCTAGATAAATGACAAGTTACAACATGTTTCAGTGTCACATGCATTTTTGGAGGGATATTATTTAATATAAACATGATATAGATTTTGCATGTTGGGCAGAAATGAGGGTTCTGTAACTATAATTATCCAGATTTGCAGAAACAATGTTTATGTTGCTTAAGTTTAAAATGAAGACTATTTAATACATTTTATTTTATAACGTTGTATAAAATATACATGAAATACATATAATAAAATGTCAGTAGAAATATCCTGCATGCTTTAATACTTTCCTGAAATACAGGTTTTTGCACAGTGTAGTTTGTTTTCCTGTCACTGTGGGCTGCAGAGCACAGTAGTACAGAGCAGAGTCTGATACTTTAGCAGAGGAGATGATCAGATCCACATGGCTTTCTTTTTTTCTGTGTTTGATGGTTATTCCTGGAACGGGTGGATTAGCTGGAGTTGTAACCCCTGAATCTTCCAGTATGAGGAACTGTGGTGGTGATCCTGCATATTGCCGATACCAGTGAACACCACGAGCAGAACCGCTGTAGTTACAGGAGAGTGTCACATTATCACTCTCACGAGCAAATTCTCTGTCTCTTTTTGGAGTGATGACTTCTGAGGCTCTGGAACCTGCAAATGAAAGTGGCATTAAATTAAGTTTTTTAAACACTTCTGTTTGAATAAAATGCTTTTGCTTTTACTTTTACAATATTATACCTTCAGTTGATAACAGCAGTATAATAATATAGATCAACATGTTCACTCACTGAACTAGTAAGAACAAGCTAAAAACAGAGCAGCTGCTCCACACAGTGTTGAGTGATGTTCATCTTTACCCAGCTGTATGCTGTATAGTGTCTGTGCTAAACTCCTCCTCCTGTCCTG